TATATTGCATGCTCATCTACCCACTCACGGCAGACAGCAGCGTCTAGGCAGTTCACTGAATTGACGTTTTCGAGCGAGAGAGAAAAAGAGAACATTACGAAACCCAGATAAAATTTTACGAAATTCGGTATAAATTATAAGTAAAAAACCTGCAAACAATACTCTCTCCGAAAATTCAGACGAAAGTGAGATACCCAGCTCAAACAAGTGACTTAGGTGAAGGCAAGTAACTTGGAATAAAGCACATTGATAATTTATAGATAAACACACAATCACATCACACTGACATAAAAACAAACTTGAAAGCATAGAGATCCAATTATACACGTTGAAAATGTCAAAAAACCCGTTTCATTAATTTGTGCACTCGTCTTCCAGTAGTATTTCTGTAACATTCTCCTCTTCAACTGTATCCACTTTTATCTTTCTAATACTGTCATCACTGATTTCTTCTGACACCAAAACAGAACTTGACAACTCTTCGTTAGCCAATGCTTCACTGTTGAGATCTACTTGTGATGTGGCTCCCAGGAGTTGCCTTCTGTTCGGATGGAAGAACTTGTAGTACATCAGCATGATTGAGATACCTGAAGCCCAAAATTTGGAAACGGATTGTCAAAAACATTCAGATTACCGATGGTGAATAAGACAGGAACTCCATATTTGACTTTGTCGATGAACGGGAACGTATTCAATGGAGCGGGAAGAATCACGAAAATCACCATCATTTCCACAAATTCCACACCATATGCGCACAAATATCGCCATCTAGTGTTCCCTTCAGCCATATTGAACGGGGTGAAGATGTGGATCACAGTGTTGATGAACAGTAAGAGTTTCTCGATATGGGTACATGCTTCAATGTGGAGTGCCTGAAAATTGACGTGCTGATATAACTTTCTAGTTACTGGTGACTTACTTGTAGAAAAATAACATGAATCAATGTGACTAGTAAATGACCAAAAATCATTGGAATCACGTAAATACCATAACTCAAAACGAACGCCACAAGTGTGATAATTCTGGCGAGGATCGTGAGGAATCTCCAACAAAACTGAAAAACAATTTTTTTTTTCTACGAGTATCAACACTATCTCACCTGCAGTATTGCTTCGTGTGGCCAAATATTGACTTTGTCATCTCTGGTCATACGCAATGAACGGTTTTGAACGACAACGGACCAGGAAATGCTAATAATTGATAGTGTGAGGGAAGCGGCTTGAAAATACAACCAGTATGGGTAGGTTCCTGATCCAGACATGTAGTAGCTTCGGAAATAGTTGGCGGCGATCGAGCCTTGGACGATGAGTTGAGGGGCAGATTCCAGGAATGCTTCGAAAAATCTGCAAATTATATGTTCACCACAATAGTGACGCAAAAATGGTACCTTAATAGAGTAGCATCCCTCTCTGCCTCCACCATTTTCATGAAAAACTTCCTTTTCTCTCGATCCATGCAATCCTTCTTACTCTTTGTGAACATCCATCCGTAGTACAATGCCTTGTAGTACCAGAACAAAGGACCCATCTGAAATGAATCATAACTTATTGGAAATACGTGCCCTAAGCAGAATAAAACTCACTTGAAAGATACACAGCGTAATCATTTTCCCGAGTGAGATGAATCGTTTTTGGTTCAACTCAAAGGTTCCAGTTCGTCTTGGATGAGCTCTCCGTTTCCAATGCATTTCATCGTCTAGCATCCAAACCATTGAGATAATGTTGATGATGATGGAAGGGAGAAGAGCAAATGTTAGAACCAGTGCTCCAGAGAGGTGCTGAAGAATTAAGAGTTGAATATTTTTCTGTCTGTCACTAAATGACGGTCGCAAACACAATAATTTGAAGGCTTTTTTCAGAAAGTGTCGGCTTGGTATCGATGAACCACGGAAGTTAACTCGAATAGCCACGTTGTCTTCAAAATGCCAAGAAAGGCAGCAAACAGTTCTACTGTGAAGCTATTTGCTTCGTGGAATAAGAATGTGAATTCAACGCAAGGTTTTGGCCAGAGCGTTCCAATACGGTTGCAGTATGAAAAAATTTTCAAAATTAGGTTTTCCTACTTTCTTTGCTTTATATGCTGGCATTGTACTAGCAAAACTTCCTAAACACGTGGAATTTTGCGCTCATTTCCCTGTATAATGAGACTGTCGTGATGATCATCACTTACAGCGCATTATTTTGTGTTTCCCATCACTATTTCAAAAACGAAGACTCACTCTTCCTGCCCAAAAATGAAAAATTGCAATTCCAATATCCGAGAAGAAGTCCAACACATATGAACACATTGCGAATCCAAAACAAAATAAGTCGAACCATCGAACAATGAGCACACTGGGTATTCTATCAGTGAGGACCGCAATGACACCCGCATCTTCTGAAATTCGCCCCAAATTTTCCTCTTATTTTATTTCAAATTATTAACTTACCTCGCTCTACTTCTTTTGGTATCAACAATAACTTTGATTCGTGTTTTTTGAGATACATTTTCCGCGATAAAAGTGGCTAATGAGAATATTGGTCGATCAATAATAGAAGAAGAGGGAAGAGACAGTGTGTGATGTATGCATTAAGGACCACTGGATGCCGGACTGTGTCTGCCGATTCGCGTTCTCTCTACTTCTCCTTTATTAATATTATCTCTCTCCCAATACCATTGGCCATTCATCAGGCGAATTGTTGCATCATTAGAAGAAGGAGGACAACGAGAATATGAGGAGGAGATGGAGGATAATAAAAATATGACCCGGTTGATGGAGTGTTCTTGAGGAAAAAGGTGGCAGAGAAATATTGTACAGATTTATTCATTTACTTATTGTTTTTGGTATTATCCCGATTTTTTACAAATAAAGTTATTATGGGAGCATTAATAAAGCAATCTAACAGAATTTAGCACAGGCTTGCTTTGGCTCCAAATGACTTCTGACGTATTTGATGATATCAGGAAGCTCTTCCTGAAAAAAAAATGAGTTTGAGATCAGTTTAGAAACGGAAGATTGAAAGTTACCTTGATAAGCTCCTCGCAGAAGGATTCCTTCTTCTTGTCATCTCCGAAAATTCTGTAGCATACTTTCTCAAGGACTTCAGCCTCTTCTGGGACATGGTTGAGGATGAGCATTCTGGTGAAACCAACAATTTCTTTGCATGTTGTGCAAGCACATCCGAGACGGGATCTGGTCTGTAATCATGGAAAGATGTTCACAAGGATTGATGACAATTTGAGGCCGACAGGTGTTTTTTTTTCGAAGGGATGAGCGAAGATACTTATCCAGTAATGACCCTCAATTAGAAAACAATTTACACATAGGGAACTGGGGGTATTGGAACTCAATCTACGTTGCGGATTCAGTGTAAAAAATCTTCTGAAACTAGTATACAATCTTCTTAGAAAAAACAAAAAAGAACTGAAGAGAGTGGGATTCGAACCCACGCCCCCGAAGGGACTGGTGCCTTAAACCAGCGCCTTGGACCGCTCGGCCATCTCTCCACATTGAAAAGAGGAACGAAATGTGCTTATCTATAGACAGGTGCTGATGAAAACCAACGCATCTTACTGAACTGTCAGTTAATGAAAGAAATTGTGTAGCAGTTTTTTCAACGAGTAGCAGATCTTTCAACTTATTTGAAGAACGAAATGCTCTAGCGCATTTTTGTTGACTACAAGTAATGCGAAAATGTCAAAATCTTACCATAAGACAATTCGGTTTGTTCTCCTTCATCATTCCATGCTTTGCCAGTTTTCCCTTTTGAATCATTTCAGAACTGACATAACTCACAGCCAATACTGAAAAAAATTATTCTGTTTCAGTTTCACCATCTAATTTTTGAAATTCAAAACTTACCAACAAAAGCAAGGGTCACTAATTGAAGCGATTGCATTATTCAACGAAAGTGTAGGAAGATTGTTGTGGATGATGTGAAGAAGAAACCTTCACCGGATTATACAGCGCAAAGGATTGTAAGGGCGGCAAACGTGTTTGACCAAAACCGAACGTCTGACCCAATTTCAAGCTTTTAACATCATATACTTCCTCGAGAGGAGGGAGAAGATCTCGGAAAGAAGAACAGGTTTCAGAAACAAAAACTTGTTCTGAAACCCATTACGAAAGAAGAATAACACAATCATTAGCCGTATTTAATCAAACATTAGCATTCATCAAAAGTTTTATAAAAAATCCCCAGAAATTGGAAACATTTGAGAGGTGTTAAGAAAATAAAAGTCAATAAAGCAAAGGTTTTAGCGGTTTTTTCCAGAAAACTTATATTACCCACGGATAGAAACAAAAGCAAGAATGGATGGTTGGAAAAAGAAAAAGAAAACATCAACTATAATATAATGAACATGAATAAATTATCAATAATATACAACCCATACGTTATTCATTCTCCTGTCGTCATACTGACTGGTTATTCCGGATCACGTTACCGGAGATAAATAAAAATAAGAAAATGTGAGAAAGGAAAATGCAAAGCAATAAATTCGGTCGAACAGTCACACTCAAAACACACAAATACAAAGTAAAAAAGTCGTCAATGAAGTGGTAAATGGTTGTTGTTCTTTCAGAAGAAACTGGACTGGAAGAAGACGGAGAGACTGGTTAATCAACCTTGACGGATCCGTAGATCTTGCGCACAAAGTAGTATGTTGCAAGGAAACCAATCGTTCCAGTCACCAAGAAGAACATAAAGACGAAGATTGAGGTGTAGGAGAAGTAGAGGATGGTTGAGATCTGCAAAATATAGTATGAGTGTTGTGAAAAGTACGTTGAAGATTCCAATGACGTGGCGTGTTTACAGTCTTGATGACGTTTGAGAAAATCAACATTGCTATCTCAATCCAGGTTGATAATTTTCAAAAAATTATTTCAAAAGTAAGGATGGTCAATCTCTCTTCGATTTTTTGTGAAGATATCACCAAAATGCATTTTTCCAGCTATGTTGCCTGAAACGTTTTAGAAAGCCAAAGTTGGTGCACATTTCTTGCAAAAAAGCAAAAAGAACTGAAGATAGTAGGATTCGAACCCACGCCCCCCGAAGACACTGTTGCCTAAAACCAGCGCCTCAGACCGCTCGGTCATCTCTCCACATTAGAACGGTTGGTTGAAACTGCTTATCTATAGTTTGCACGTGGTGAAAACTAACGCTTTGCCTTGTCAAAAAATGACAATCTATGGTTGACGTTTTCCGGAAACATGAAATTGCGAAATGCAGTAGATATCGGCAGAAACAAAATCTGATCCGAAATCTACGCAAAATATGTTTTTTACGTAGAACTAACCCACATCTTTTTGCAAAAAAATACAAAAAAAGAACTGAAGAGAGTGGGATTCGAACCCACGCCCCCGAAGGGACTGGTGCCTTAAACCAGCGCCTTGGACCGCTCGGCCATCTCTCCACATTTCTCTTATGCTATATTGCATGCTTATCTACTCACTTGCGGCACACAGCAGCCGCCGGCAAGTTTTGAGTTTCGAGAGAGAGATAGGGGAAAAAAGAGAACTCACCGTTCCACTAATAGCGAGTTTCGTGTTGAAGAAATGGACACAGTATATGAAGAGATAGACGGCTGTAAATCCACTGGTCATGAAAGATCTCCACCACCAATGGTAATCCTCTGCGCATAAATGGAAGTAAGCGAGAAGGATTGTTGCTTCCGAGCAGGTGATGATGAGGATAAGGTATACCAAGAACAGGAAACCGAACATGTAATATGTTTGGTGAGCCCTGAAAAGTTTTATGTTTCAATTATGATTCAGCTTTTACAAATCTCACCAAATGCTGTTGAGAATGAAGAACAATTGAATGAAAATGCAACCAAATGGCAAGATTCCTCCCATCAGCATTCCTGGGAGCGGCTTAGTGTAGAAGGTCTGCTCTGGCACTTGTCTTGGGATCTTGTTAGTTCTCACTGGTGCCTCGATGCCTCTCTTTTTGAATCCAAAGTAGGCTCCAACGAAAGTCATGGGAACGGAGATAAACAGCCAGAGGATGAGGAGTACCAGGAGAGTTCCGAATGGAACCGCAGCCGACGATCCTTTAGTCCAGAGAAGAGTGTTGGAGAAGAAAAAGACGGCAAACAAGATTCCAGGCACCAAGAAAGCAGTGATCACAAGGTTCGTCTTCCAGTGAATACCTTCGAACGTTTTGTAGAGTCGAGCAGAGACGTATCCGGCAACAACTCCGAAGAGAACGTAGAAGAAGAGAGCAAAGGTGATGAGGGATCCACGGTTGGCTGGGGAGAGGAATCCAAGGCAGGCGAACACTGAAAATTAGTGGTTTTTGTTTAAGAGCTGGCGAAAGAGGTGTTGTTGTTCTTCCAATTATGTGGATAGACATAATTTGTAGTTTTTATTCTTTGTAATGAGCTGTTGTAACTGATAATACAAAATCTTGAGTTGTTCGTGAGCTCTTGGAGTTTTCATAATGCAACTGAAAATTTAAACCTCTATGAATGACTGTTGAGTCTGCAGCAAATGAATAGGCTGCTAAAATCATGGTGAACAAACTCGTTAACAATTTCATGCGTCAGAAGTTCGGTAATTCAAAGTAATTGATAACGGAAGCCAGTCCGTTGATTATGTTTTTTGTTTTCAATCTAACCACGAATTATGACTGTGCGATCTGTTTCCAGTTTGGTTATTCTGAACAGATCAGGAGACAGTTACATTTTTATTTATTTTTATGAAAACTATTGCTCTTTTCCATTTGAGTTTGCTATTCTAGAATGATTTATAAGACCGATCCCCGTCTTCGTTATGTATAAATGTATGTAATGTCTTTTTTTTTTTGGCTTTCTCACGATGAACAACAAATTTTAGTCCCCCATTCATTCCTTTTTTCATAACTACGAGCTGAATGAACATAACCATGTTTTCTCTCACGCCATTGTTCAGAGTTTGATACTATCCGTTCAAACTCTATTCACTTTTTCTGTGATGCGAACTGTACTTTGCCTTCGACCACTTCAGTGTGTTTTTTTTAACAAACCTAGTGTGACGGAAACCATGAGAAGTGTTTGACATCCGGCTCCGATGAAAACTGACAGAAGCATTGGGTAGCGTGGAGTACGGAACACATCTCCGTGGACCAACTTCCATCCGAACTCTTCCTGAGCATCCTCTTCAGTGTCCAGTCTGTTGTATCTGTCGATATCACGATGCAAAGTTCTCATAATGATCATTCCAACCATTCCAGTCAAGAAGAGCACAATGACAAGAGAGTTCATGATCGAGAACCATTGAATGTTGGTGTGTGGCATAGATTGAAGAATGTAATCCCATCGAGATGACCATTTGATCTCAGTTGGTGTCCACTTGAGACTGTAGGTGTAGGTGATCTCAGCACTCTCCGACTTGGCATCGATTCCGATTGGCTCAACAGAGTCACCACAATCAAGATTGGACGAAGAGCTGTGCTTGATGGAGCGTGGCTTGACGTCAATACGGATGATTCTTCCTCCGACTCTGTGCTCCAAGAAGTTGGCATCGTTGGTCATATCTCTGTAGAAGATCTCAATGTCGACGTGATTGAAGATGTAGAAGTTGTTTGGAGTGTTGTATTTTTGCTGAAATAAATGAGGGTTGGAGAATGGCTTTAGAGTTTTGATTGGAATTTTTGCATTTTTTCGGGTTGAGTCAGCGAAACTAATAGTGCTCAAAACGTCTATTAAGTTTTTCACGTTCATGATGGGCCAGTGAGTTTTGAGCTACAGTAATGTAACGTCGGAGCGCGGTTATATGCTGCAAGAAAACTACGGCATGCTTTTCTATGTGCGCTGATTACTTTTTCTGATTGCACGACTTTTCACTTCATGTATTGAATTTTCGGCTGAAGTTCCTCGATCAGCACGTTCTTCGTCTTATCTCATTTCTGTATAATCAGTTTCAGACAGAAGTAAACCGTGTTACTCCAAAACTTTGAATATTTCTTCTTGAAAATCCAAAGAGAATCCATCTCCAATGAACTTGATTATTTTGGTTCGTTTTTTGCCAATTTTAGCTCCACGATATCTTATAAAATCCGTCTGGCTCTGGTTATTCCATTGTAAATTTTCTAAACAAGTGCATTTCACTGATTTTCGTTTGTGGACCACTCTGACAAAGCTATAAATCACTCGGAATCCCGAAAAAAAAGTGCCTGCTGCGTTTAATCTTAGTGTCCTCTCTTGTGTATGTCATTTGTCAACTTGCACGTTTATTGGCTCTGCCAGTTCTCTTTAGTTTTTAGGACAGAAGATTAGTTTTGGAAGACGAGTGCTTTTTCGCATACTAATTTAGAACTACTCGAAAAGTGAGAGGGAACCACAATTCTTTTCTGAACCATTTTTGTAGTTTTTCTAATCTTATCCAAATATGAACACAAAGACTCTCAACACAACTCTTACGTATGCTGATAAGAATGTTACATATTGTTCGGCAAACACCCTTTTCACACATTATGTGTATCGATTGAACTTACATTGAGTACACATGCATCGTGTTGGTATCCCTGCTCATCAACAAAGCATCCAACGGGGAATCCAGTGGTGCACACATCCATTTCAGCAGAATTCTTGAAGCAGAATGTCACTGGCATGTTGTCAACGATCCAATGGTGTTGATAATTGAGTGTCATGGCCCGTTGAAGAAGACGGAGTTTGGCCAAATCGTCAGCATTTCCACGGGAGTACTTCTTGGTGTCGCATACCAAACGGCACTTCTCCTCTTGCAAGAATTTGACCTGGAAGTGTTCAATTTCAGATTTTGGCGGGGAATATGAAATTTGTACCTTGTATGGACTTGGACGAATACGTTCACCGAACAAAACTTGTCCGAGGTTCTCGACCGGTGACTCATCCTCGTTTACCGTGCAGAAGTCAAAACTGAAACACGTCATATTATTTATGTTCTTTATGATCGCAAATTGAAAATATACCTGTGATATTCATACGGAATGACTGAGCGATCACTGTCCAGGTGATTGACATACAAGGATACGTTGCTCTAAAACAGATAAATTGAAACTAAGACAGAAAAAAATTGAAAATGATCAACTTACTGGACAATTAACTTTTTCATCTTTACAAAAATTGACTGGAGCCAAGCCGGGAAGGTAGAATGAAGAAACACCGGCTAATAATCCAACAAAAAGTAGTTTTGTGAGCATCGTAGTCAATTTAGACATTACCTGAAACATAAAATTGAGTGTTAATCTCAAAAAAAACTGAGAGAAATGAAAGCGAAAACGGGATAATGGTGCGCGAATGGAGTGTTTTGCATAAATCGAAAAATGCCACGCTAAAATGACGGGGCAACACTGTCTCTGCGTTCTCTTCCGGGCGCGCACTCTTTCTCTGTTGGGTCTCGCAACGAAATGACGCGCAGGAGGGTTTACGGCCTCCCTTATTGTTTGCCGATGTGTTTTCTAGCTGTTTTCTTCGATTTTCAGTCAAAATTAGTGGTTTTCATCAAAGTTTTTTTCGAAATACAATGTTTTCGTAAGATTCTGAACAAAATGATATATTATACCAGCCAAAAACATGTGGTTTTGCTCAACTTATCGATTTTTGGAGAAGAAAACAACACGATGGAATGAAAAAGGATAGAATTCATTATTACGAGGGGAATAAATATGGAATGGTACACCAAAGTATGTTTTTTTGATTTGAAAAAATGAAAATGAGGGCAAAATACAAGTGATTTTCGATAGAAAAATTATGAATAAAGACATTAAAACTTGAACCAGAAAACAAAGAAACGCTTATAAAATGAGAAAAATTATAAGATGTTCTCCGTGAACGGGCTTCATTCTGTTGGAAGATGAAGGTGTACCGAATTGAAGAGAAGGAAGGTGGAACCCTGGAAAATAAGAAACATAGATTAGCATCTCCGATTTTTCATGAAGTATTCCCCATTGTCGGAATCCACATCGTGACCTAGTGGTTTAGATGGAGGATAAAGATTGTTTTATGAGAAATATAAAAGTTATGAAAAAACGCTCTTTTCGAAAAACAAAACAATACCTTAAGCGTCAGTGACACAGACGTCGTTGGAGACGTGGGTCTCGACGTGATGAAGAGCGCTCTTGTCGAAAGAAGCAGCCATTT